AGTCGTCATCTTAGGCGAACAAAATGTGCATACCTCAAGAGCGAGTAATCGAGGAGGAGATGGAGATGGATATATGTGAGCCTCGGAAAAGACCGATGCATCGCGCACTGCTTGCAACCAAGCATGATGGAGGATATTACTCTGACAGTCATGGCCTTCGAAGAAGTAGGTGAACACGAGGTACTGGGGATCAGAGACAACTTCTTCCCCAGGAGAATGGCCAGACACTACGGAGTCGGCGTGGATAGGTACACCGTCCAAATTCATGGGGACATTCAAGCCCGTTAGAAATTGCACATCCGTGAGTGATGGGATTTCCTCTGCCGTCCAAGGAATAAATGGTGTCAGAGTGTAGCATACTCCAGACTTGCTCTTGATGCAGGAAATATGGGTCGCCCGCGATCGCAAGCCACTTTGTAAATGGTTGTATAAGTTGAGTGCCGCGAGAAGAGTGAGTCCAGTCAATGGATCGAAAGGGTCTCCCCTGACGAATAATCGCTCGAGAGACACTACACGATCCCCTCCACCACATTGTGCAAGAGCAGTGGGGTCATCGCGAACGCGAAGGGCTTCATGGCCTTCCCATATATCACGCACAGGATGCGAATAGAGATTAATGTTACCAGGGCGGTATAAGAGCCATGCATCTTTCAGGCGCGTCGAGAACAGGCTAAGGGGCTGGGAGTAAAACTGTATAGCGATAGCGGGATAGACGAGACCAGTAATGACCAAGCCGGATATGATAAGGACACGAATAGTGTATTTGGCGCAATGTCTGAAAACAAACCCAAACGTCAGCCAAAAATAGCTTCGCCAAATAATCATGGACCTCACAGTCCGAAACGATAGAAGAAACGGGTGGTCGAGTTTCGCGCTGACGGCCACGAGGGCAAGAACCATGGAAGGTTGCTTCCAATCGTATACAGTTCAAAAAGAGCACGACCCCGTCCAAAAACACAGAGCCTACCACTGGGATGTCCTGCTGGGCTTGAAGAGATGGCCAGAGTAGCCCTGCCTTAAAGTGATGTAATTAGGAGACCCAGCGGCTCTTGCCGAATACTGTAAGAGCCTAATCGATTACATTCCACTAATGTCTGCAATGTAGAGTGCACAATCTCCACACCATATTCATAGAGTGAGTCGTAGAACAAGGAGAGTCAAAACAATTGAGAGAAGAACAAGGGGGACGAATTGACTGAGAATCCTGGCCCTCGGTGCATTCTCCAACTCTACGGATAGGGGACCTAGCTCTGCCTTCCCCGCGGAGCGTGACCAAACTGCATCAGAGGCCATGCGAGTCCTCACTTCCCCTTTCGAGTCCCCAGCCCCCGAATGTCGCATGGCTTGGGCAGTCAGATAATTCCGGATTGCTGTATCCATATCAACAGCATATTTCTTTTGGCCTTCAAATGCCCGACCTTCCACAAGGCCTGAAATGATCCAGTTAGGAACGGCACATTGGGAGAGGCAAAGTGTCCAACGTCAACTCACCTCTGAAGGGGCAGAAACCTGTCCAGACAACTTCAGAGGTGATATTCACCACACAACCCTCCCTATTATCTGCCCAAGCGATGTGAGTATCGGTAACGACGTGAAAGGCACCCCCATAAGGGACGCCCGGGGTGTATGTCGTGGTTCTTGTCGAGATATAGTCATTCTCGTCTCGGTGTTGATTTTCCTCAGTAACTTACAGGTGGACTAGTGATCAGATATGACCCCAGATGGCATCAAGGAGGGAACGTGTACCATTACATTGGACCTCCTTTGGCCCCACACCGGTCATGGGCTTGGTATAATGGTAGTTCCGGATTTGGAGGGAAGGATCCTCCTTTCTTGGGCTCCATTCTTCCAATTCGAGGTCTTTCCGTTGAAAAGGAATACACTAATCAAGACGGGAATAAAGACAAGACGAAGCCAACGTACCCCATACTTTCTGGTTCTCCTTCAGAAACGTCTCAAACCATTCGCTTGAGAGGGACAATATTTAGAACAGAGCAGGTTGATGGATAAAAGCGACACTGGCACTCACGAGTCAAACATAAGATAGTATACGTCAATCGGGGACGTTGGGTATGTGCTATCAACGACAATCTCGACAACATTAGAGGTATGTGGGTAGTCCGCTTGGACGTCAGGGCCAGCACTTGTGTCCATAGGGTTGGTGCGGTGAAGAAGAGAAGAAGACGGGAGATGGAAAGGAGATAATGTGGTGGAGGGCACGTGCACGGAAGTTGGCGCGTTTGCACCCCGGTGATGTATTCACGATGACCCTCTACATGGACATAATATTAGGAATGAAAAAAATGCCGAAGAATGCGTGGCCATGGTATATATATAAGGAAATGCCATTATCCCTCAGACGTCGAAGTCAAATGTCAGTCCACCTATCGATTCGGAAGGTGCAGCCATTCCCATATTCCGTAACAATGGATCAAGTGAGGCCAGCTCGGCCTTGATCGAGGTTCTGGCAATAGTATCCAACTCTTTCAGAAGCTGATTGATGATTTTCTAAAAATGCAAAATCCAATGAGCAGGAGAAACGACGCGACGGCAGAAAAGAGGCCTAAGACCTTGAAACGCGCGTCAACCTTGACAATAGTATCCGCCAGACTTGGGGTCCACGTTGGGGGAGGCGAGAGGATTCCGCCAGCCGCATGGGCTAGACCTGATGGCGATTCCGATCCATGTGTGTGAAAGCCATGATGTTCGCTGGGGAATAATTGGGAATAAATTGGATCATTGGCGGTATACGCCGGTTGAAGAGAGATGGAATAGCCACTCCCAGGAGGCACAGAGTGTGCCATTCCAGAGTTCGATAGTGAAGTCGACCCAACCACTTGTCGTATTTTGTGGTAGACTTCGATAAGGATGTCACAAAACGATATGAGGACTTGAAAATAGTCAAGAGGCATGGGCTATTATGGGAGAGTTGGTTACAAATGGAGGCATCAAAAGCAAGCGAGAGGCACTAGCCATATTGGGTATCACGAGGTAAGACGATTGCTCGATATCTGCGTACTCTCCTTGACCGGATCGTTTCTGACCCTTCGTACCACGGAATATATTTCGCTGTATGGCGGAGAACGTCAGACTATCAGTGATAAAACATACGAATAGTATTGAGAACCATTTTAGGCCTGAAATTTTCATCTGGAAGTTGTTCGTATTCGTTTAATAATATAGCGAGCGATCGGAGAAAGTCCGTCGGCAGATTGGTTTCGAAAAGATTGGATAGTGACATGGCAAGAACGGCGAATTTATAGGTCCTTGGACAACACATGAATTCTCAAGGAGGATGGCAGCAATATGGTGCATCACTGACCGTTTCCTCATACTGGCATTATTGTAAGCCTTATCGAGTTCGTAAGGAGACAGGAGCACTGTATTTAACCAGTACGATTTCCTACGAGAAACCATCAGAGATCGACTGAATGTAACGAGGCTTTGATGCACACCCTTCGTGGCCTTGACGTATATGAGCTAGGGAAATAAGCCTCCGATTGAGAGTTTCACGAATGCTTTCGAAAGATGATGGAACAGGCAAGCTTGACAAGGCAGTAGCTGATGATGCTTCGGAGAACTGGGAGCCAGAATCCCATTCTTTAGGAGTCGATGTGGTAGAGCCAGGGAGATTCGTTATAGAGTTACTCCTGCTCCCTTGGAACGAAGCCAGTAAGTTGGAAGCCGAGGATTTTCGCCGCATCCCAGGGCGACTTGGAAGATCCATATCAGGCGCGAACTAAAGCGATTGCGGAGCTTGCCGTACGATCTCACTTCGACCGCTCAAATGGCAGACCCACAGGTGATCGCAAAGCAGGTAAGGTCATTGAGCATCCAACAGGGTGCATTGATCTTACGGGATCCCTCAAGTTCACCGAGTACTATTATACCAAATTCGATACCGCCCGGCAGGAACTTCACGCCCTTTATGTCAGTAATGCGCCTACTGCTCCTCTCAGTATCATAATATTCACGTTCGCACCCACAGCGGGGGACTTCTCTACTTACGTGGGAGGATAAGCAGATTGTTGGGGTGAAGGGGATTCTGGAGCATCTTACCGTATGTTGTTCATGGCAACTACATGGGTCGATATCCCGCTTAGGAGGCAATCCCGTTCGCAGAACCTTCCATTTCAGAAAGTCGCTCATCGTATTACATCTCTGGATGCCCAACCGTCTAGTGGTGGACTCCTGGTTCTCGTAACGGGGCAATTACTGGTGGGTCGTGGATGGCTGATGATCGGTTCTCCGATCTGACCATCGTTGTGGGCACGGCCCTCCAGATTGATGATAATGTAAACCCGCTGCAATTCAGTCAGGTGTTCCACCTTATTCCTGAGGGTACGAGTTTCTATGTGTAAGCTTTTGCATTTCCATTGGTATATGGTCCGAATCGCCCTAATAATTACACCCCAATTTTTGGCTCACACTAGTCAGAATGACCTTTTCAAACTTAACTACGGTTGATCCAATCTCTTCCCGCTCAAATGTGTACAACCTTGGAAACCAATGTACCCCCTTGCTCGGCGATTTCGTTTTCTCTATTGAGGGCAGTTGTTTTCGGACCAGATGTCTCAGCATATTAGAAAGGATATACATGACCTCTGCCTTGTGCTACCTTCTGATCTCAGCAAGCTGTCCTGTGACCTTGAAAAAGTGGGATATCCCGGTCAGGTGTACCTTGGCTTGGATAGAGACTGGAACCCAAAAACAAGCCCTAGCGAGCCTCGGGTTCCTGAATATGGCCTCACCAGGAGAGCTGTGCGCAAAGGCAGTGAAATAAGAGATCGTACGTAGGGATTAAGCGAAACAGGCCTGAGTTCAGACCGCATTCTAATGCATATGCTACACGCCTTCTCTTGTGCTTGGGGTATGCGATTTGTGGAACGTCCCTGTATTGTTTACAAGAACTGATTTTCGGGGAATTATGAGAGAAGTCTTTACGCCATCAGGAAATTTATCTAAAACTTACGCGCCCATATGAAAATGGGAAAATGAAATTCCCTCTAGCCGACTCGAACGACTGACCTCGTCATTACTAGTGACGCGCTCTACCAACTGAGCTAAGAGGGACTACATTCGACTCTGCAATATTGACCATCATCACTTCGCCTGCCCCATCGCCCAAGTCTCAGAATCTCCTCCCGCGAGACAATTTCCTATGGATGTTTTATACAAATGCCTATGACTTACCACTGAGTTTTTGGGCAGCCCGGCTTATTGGGGGTATTGGGGGGGCACTCATAACTTGATCGGAATGGACCGGTCTTTTGCAGTGTTGTCAATAGAATGTGAAGTGGTCAAAGGATCAATGTATATAAACAGCTTGGAATTGGTCTCAGGCAACCAGTCAACACCGGGCTGTCCAATATCATCCGCCATGCGTTATCCTTTATTTTGGGACAAAGGTCCTAATTAAGTTTTCAGAGCCCTTTGATTTTGAGACAGGTGTCAATAGCCATGATTTGATATTTTCAGTGGTGGTAAGTGAAGGAGGTGGATATTTACGACCAGGGTGTCCATCACCCAATTGATCTATACAGTAAGTGCGCCTTCGTTAATATGTATCTAATGAGGCATATATCATCGATATCATTTGGGTCGTTGACCCCCGGTCTATAGGGGTCTATGGACGGTCAATAGAAAAACCTATTGAACCCAAAAGTCACTAACCGGGTCACCCGGTCAATGACAACACTGGTCTTTTGGTAGTGCGAGCCCCTCGTGCAAGTTGACTTCTTTGGAGCATTTCCAACCCGCTTTGTGGCTTTGACTCGAGTCGTCAGTTGCATTCCCCAAGTGACTATGCAACTCCTGTCATCTCTTCGATTCTCAATCACCGGATCGAAGAGACAATACTGATATTTCACGAAAATTTGCCGGGGTGGGTGCTACTGAATTGTATGCTTTCGTGTGGTCGAGCGGAATCAAAACCAAAACCATTTTCATACAGGAATAGCCAATAGCATTAGCATCTCCGTCTCCACTGTGTAGCCCTAGTGCTCGTTGGGACTTCCCTCAGCAATTTGTGCTTACACGGTGCACAAACACAGACGGATATTACGTGGACGAAGCTGTTCAGTCCGTGCCATGGCTTCACAGGATTCTGGTCAAAATTACAATGTGAGGCTGGTGGGTGCTATTGCTGGCATGGGCTCTGGTCAGTCAATGGACACGTCTTGAGCACACGTCCTTGGTAACGATTTCGTTCCCCTTTTCAGGACTTACCAAGGTATGCACCACTCGCGTAGTAAAATCCCTCCCCCTCCATTATTTTTTTTTGAATGAATTCCCTAGGTCGCCGTCGGTCATGGGTGAGCCCGCCCTCACCGACAGCTTCCCAAATTCTGCTCAATATGTCGTATCTAAAAAATCAAGTTTTGACACCGTCAAAGCCCGCATTCAATGTGCACCTCCGGGGACCTATAAGGGCGCTTGGGACTGTCTTATGATGACTGTTCGAAATGAGGTATTTAAAACCCAGGGCACCTTATATCCTCCTAATCGGCATCATGTGTAGTCCGTATTTGCCCTTTATAAGGTTTGATGCCCCGAAATTATGCGTTGGTAATCTCTTACCGGGCCGTCAGGGGGCCACCCCTCCTGCTGTAGGATGGGCAGCCATAGATGCGGTCTTGCTTGGGTCTCTTCACAACTACCGTTTAATACTTTCAAGGAGCGGATTAACAGAGCCTATTCCTGGGTCTTCGAGAACCCGACTCTCTATGTTTGGACATGGGGTGGCTGGGCTTATGGCGGGATGCACAAGGTCAGCTTGCGGTTTTCTGTTGGTTTCCAAATGATGTATCTCGATCATGGGACGCTTAGTGCCATAGTCGCACACCCCATCGAGCTGCTCAAAGGTCTGTCCTCCATTGCTCTATTTCTTGGTCAGGACCCATGTCGTTGGTTCTTCCAGTCAAACTTCAATTGCAGACACAACGTTCCGTCGCTGATCGGCAATTCAAGGGTCCGATCGATGCTGCACGCCAAGTCATAAAGGCCCATGGTATACAGGGCATGTGGCGAGGTCTGCCTAGTAGTGTTGCACTACGTAGTTCTTTCTTCTGGTTTTTTCTCAGTGTTGAGGTCCGCCCAAATTTCTTCAAAGCCGGCGACCAAGTTAAAAATGGTAGATTATTAGGGCTTAATGCGCGCATTTTCTAGATTGGATGGAACCCCAACTGAAGTGCGTCATCCGGAACCCCCCTTCACCCATACCACCTCCTAATCCCACGCAGATGAGCACCGGGTTCAAAACTTTTTGTTCTGGTCTGTCTTCGTCCCATGACATCGAAGCGGCTCACAGCAACGAACATTTTACAGGTGGCTTGAGCTCTTTTACTTTTTGGTTCTTTGGCATTCCTGCAGATAATGTCAAGAAGTACGTGATACAAAAGCCTTCATGTTCCCTCCATATTCCTAACGCACATCTGCCAAGCCGGATCATGGGTCGACCACTTGATGCTCCCCGTATCTCTGCACTCCGAGTCGCCGAAGACATTTATCGAAATCTTGGCTGGCGTGGCTTTTACCGCGGGCTCGCTCCTTGTTTTCTCCGCGCATTTCCTGTTAATGCTTCTGCTCTATTCGTTTACGAGGGTTTAATGAGGGGGTTGAAGGCAGAAAAGGCTCGTTGGTATCTCCTCCGCAGGTGCTGGAGTACTGATGTCTCTCATTTACGTAGACTAGAGTTTGAGGCCCCAATTAGATTCATTTGGTGCTCCAAGTATCCCGTTCCACAGCATTGTTATATTTTATCAGTACGATCAGGCTATTGATTTTCTCGTGCAGTTTGCGCCCACCGTTCGGTCAGTCACACTCAGTTGACCTCTCTACCACGAGCAGATTATCCGTGGTTTATGGCATCGAAGTGTCATCCCTCCGGGAGTGTCGAATAGGGATTTCTAATTCAGATATACTGGAGGGCTCTAGATAGGAAACAATAGGGCTCAGGGCTGCCCGCTATTTAAACATCGAAATGTGATGGTCCTCCCTTTCCAATTCCCTGTATGACTCGGGAGTTAAGATGGATAACACCGCTCTGTACCTCTCTATCCGATCGCAGTACTGCTGTGCGACGTTGAACGAGCTGTAGGGAAGATGCGTCTGACAAAAGAGTTGAAGCGATTTGCAAGCAGTATTCACCAGTGGATGAATATATATGCAACGAGGCACTGCTCTTTTGAAGTTTATTGCGTGATCAAGAGTCCAGAATCTCCCGCTTAAACGGTCACTATGGACCAACAATTGTTCGGTCATTGAGTGCCCATCCATGCCCGCCAGCGAACTTCCTAGCACACTGCTCGATCTTGAGGACGGGATGAATTGACTTAGGAGATGCCCAATTTAAAGTTCCCTCAAGCTTACCTAGAAGACTCAAGTTGCGGCTACGAATTTGACACGTCAGGATTGTTTCATCGCTTTATCTGTCATCAGACGCCGAGAGACTGGATCATGCAAATGTAGCTGAGGCGCTGGCATTTCTTTTCGATCCTATGGCATCAAAACCGGGTCTCCAGTTTAATCTTCCTTCCATGTCCTCTTCCAAAATTCCTTCCGAGTCAGAATATGATGCGTACAGTAATTCTCGGTGGAATGTCTGTATTCATGCTGTAATACGTGCGAGATGAGACGAGCAAAAGCGGTGCGTATGGATGCATGCTAGCAGATGGATTGCGACAGCATAATTAGGGGTTGATTGACGAATCAGGTCGCATGAGATCGAAAACATGGTGTGGAAATTAGACGGCGAAGCCTGACAGGGCTGAAGAGAAGTCAGAGCTGCGCTGCTTAAAGCTCCTCGTCCTCATCCATGCTGAATGGCTCAGGAGCACGATTCCGCCCAATTAGCCAGCCGACCCTCCCGATCCAAGCGTCCCTGAGAGAACGCATAGGCCTTGGGCCAAGCCCAGACTCAGGTCCGAAATCCACGGAAACACCTTCCTTAACATCTTTGTCCTCGAGAACGACCATTTCCTCCAGGCCTCGTTCCCAGGTCCTGACGGCCTCACTCCCGTACATCCCTCCCGAACGATTGACATGCTCGTCCAGGCGATCGAGCCATGCTTGCCACTCCTTATGCAATCGCACAAGGATAGTGGTTGATTCAGAGCTGAGAAGATTGCGGGCCAGTGGAGGTAGACGTTGGTAATGGACTGTAACTGCGTGAAGATATGTGAAGGTCTCCGAAGGATGAGAGAGGGCTGGGGGAAGTGATGTAGATGAGGAAGCGGAAACTGGGGACGAAGAGCCTTGGGCCGCATTCCCAGGAACAGAGGTAAAGTAGACCAAGTACGAACGAGCTGTGGAAGCGAACTCTGCAACGACAGGGCGAAGACGGCCCTGGATATACGTGTCTCTCATTCCGCTCGTCCCCTTGGAAGGATGGCTACCACCGATACCCCCAAGCGAGGCTGGTCGAGATGGCGCACCGCCGAAACCATAACCAGCCGAAACGGATGAGGGCTGAGAGTATGGGTACGCCTCGCGAATCTTTCGAATGGATGCATTAAGAGCATGTAGGGCTGAGTCAAGAGTCGGGCGTGGCATAAGCGGGATGAGCAAGGACTTGATTCCAGGATGCTTGGTGATGAGGGAGGTCAATATTGGAAGGTGGGATCCTGGGGGTAACGAGGCTATTGTAGGCCGATATCAGTAAGATGTGACAGTACTACCCCACGGAAGAGACACACCAAGTAGTACGCCCACGTCTATCGAGTCTTGTGGGTCGCCTGGCTGCTTCCCTGCCGCCGATGTTGGTGTTGATTTGGGTGGCTCGACGCGCATGCGTTTGCTGATGGTCTTCTTCGGTCGATCAGGACTGGGAGAACGGGTCATCATATTGTCATCTTGTTGGTCGGGGTCTTGTTCATGCCGCCGCTTGTTAGAGGCACTCTGCCGAGAAGGGGTCGGTGGAATGACCGGTTTTAGAGGAAGTGGCCCAGCCGTCGCATGGTATGGGGAAGAGACACCGAAGCCCCATCCAAGCTGTGGACCAGGGGGAATGCTTGGGAACGGGATGGTACGCTGGGGTAATGGGCTTCGAAGGACATCCATCACAGATATTGCTC